TCCCTCCTTCTGTTGGCTTCTCTCTTGGCTTTCAGAATGGGAAATAGCTGGTGCATAACTTGAATAAATGAAGGAGAAACAATAGATTAAAATTATGGCATTGTGTTTTGGGCTGAATTAAAAGCTATTGTGCAGTCACCAAAGTTTCTGCTGTGGTGATGATGGGATGAGAAGTCAAACTGTAGGATGCCAGTAGCTTTCTGTGGTCCCAGTCCTGTAGCTGTTTGTGTTTCAGCATCTGAGCTGCCTTGTAGGAGGCCAGGCAGAGAGCACTCCTGGGATGGAGAGTGATGACCACTGTCAGCACAGCAGTACAAAGGTTGAGGAGGATCTCTGATTTGGTTGCTCTAGTAAATAGCATCTCAAGCATTCAGTGGGGAAACTTGATTATGATTTGCTTCTGGAGCAGCCAGTAGTTTCAAGCTGATGTTTGTCAAGTGGTAGAAGGAGGTGAGGTTTTGCAAGGGGCAAGAGAGCATCCTGGATCAAAGTATTTGGTTTTTCAAGGTAAAGCTGCATAAAACTGAGGAGAAGCAAATGGGCAACAGCGAGGAATAATCTGTGCATTTTATCACACTGCTAACCCCAGCTGTAAAATTCACCATAGGAAAGCTGATAAAATGGGAGCCACACAGGCAAACAGAGGGCACGAGATTATCGGCAAACATTTATTTTGGCTCTGGCGGAGCCACTCTCCTGATCAAAGTGGTTGGAGTTTGAACCTCTTTTAAGTTGTTCCCTGCTCAGTCTGGGAGTGCCCTGCCCTTGCATTGATGGCATCAGTATCCTCTGTGCAGCTGAGTGGAAGAAGAAAAGTATCAGTAGGGAGAAGGAAAGTATGTGTGAGGCTGCTTTACTGCAGTGTGAGACAACAGTAGCTTATTTTAGCTTTGCCAGCTGCTGCTTGGTTTAGGAAAACAACCTAAGGCTTATTGTATAACTAGATAGTACAGGCATTATCCCAGGGCCAACAGGGAGTGCTTTAGCATCTTGCAGGCTCACGTCTAACAGGCTGAGTAGCTCTGCAGCCCTTATCAACAAAATACCCCACTGGCAGAAATCGCCTTGAGCTTCAGGCTTGGCCCTTCAGGAGCCTCTTCTCTGTCTGATCCCTTTGTTCAGGGCTGCCCTTCTCCCCCAGCTAGAGATGCTTGAATCCTTCTTGCCAGTTAGTCTCCTGGCTAAAATGAATTGCTCCTCTTGATCCTTGCAGGCTCCATGGTTGGTGTATGGTGGGGTGGGCTCACTTGGTGAATGTGGTGTTCTTGCTCAGTCTCACTGGGGAAATACTTAAAGAGCTTCTGGGAGGAGGTTACATGGGCAAGGAACACATGAGCGTCATGGAGAGAGGCAGAGAGAAGAGAAAGATTTAAGGCCTCAGGAAATGGACGTTCTGTACAAACATCTTGTGTCTTACCTTATATATGAAGAACAGAAAAAATGTAGGTTTATTTTTGACTTTTCTTGGGTTTTTTTCTCACAATTTTTGCCCCTTGTGTATTGTTCTTTTTCATACTCTGTGGCGTGATTGCTGTAGATGCCGCTGTGCTTGAGTTGATATTCAGTTCAAAGCTAGCTCTTAATGTGTTTATATTAGAGAGGCAAGTGGGGATCTGGGCTTAAATGTACCTGCTATACTGTGGCTCTCCTTGCTGGGTCAGGGCAATGCTGAAGAACCACAGAATGTCCTTGCCTTGAAGGAGAGGCCAGGCTGAGCAGCAAGAGAAGAGATCAGACAGTAGGAAGTTAATACTCTGGGTGCTGGTCTGCAGAGTATTGCTTCATAATACTTTTTTACAATTCTTACTTTTAAATGGCTCTACATTACATAGCCAGAGCTAGGCTAGAGTACTTGTTTATGGGGGCCTCCCTGGAGGTGTGGGTATTGAGAGGAAGCTGGAAGGCTGGCAGAGCAATCCAATCAAGACTTTCCCCTTCCTATCCCAGGGGACCACGTGTGACTTTTCTGTCCTCATATTTGCCACAGCCAGCTCCTCTGTGCTGTGTGAGGAAAGTGCTGCATCCATCACATGAGGTCCAGGAAGGCTTTCCTATTCAAGGCTGGTTGGAGGCCATGGCAGGGGCCACATTAGTCTGAAGGCTGCCGTCTGGCAGAGTCCCTTCCTACTGCTGCACAGAAGCAAGGGTCTCAGCAGTGTACAGCTACATAATGAAGCTGGGTGTGTGAGAGCTCAGCTTGTGGGTGGACCTTCATGCTGATCCAGGGGTGTGCTGATGTAACAGAGTGGTGGGATATCTGTTAGTGTCTGGCGGTCTTGGACTTTGCTGAGATACAGAAGTCTCTGACTAGGTTGTGCATGACTTGGTAGAAACATTGTAGTAACTGCTTCATCTCAGCTTTAACTGATTAGTGAGTGTATTTGTAGCACGCTGATCATTGTGTTTGCTTGAGCTCAATGAGAGCTCCTGGGGAGCAGACTCCCAATCCCATCTGTCTCGCTCAAGCATTTGTTTGTCATGGGAAAGTTAGTTCAGAATAATCCACTGAGAAGACTGGGGTCTATATTCTAGGCAGATTCTTCCATCATAGACAATCACATGAGAGCTTCAATCTTTACCTTCCCAGTGTCCTCTGGGGCAAAAACTTGACTTTTGTTGGAATAACACCCTTTAGATGTTCCCCTTGCTCCCCTTTCTCATGCTGTAGATAGAGCACCATTAAAAGGATAAAATGGAACCACTCTGTGACTATTTTAGGGCTACACTGGAGAGTGCAGGGGATGGTGTATGAGAAATATAACTGATGAATCTTTATGGGAAAAAGTAGCATCTTTCTACATAACAGAAGTAACAGCATAAAGACACTTCCAGTTCAGGTGATCTTGCCAATAAGGGCTGAAAGCCCAAAATCTGGCCATGGGGTTCACTTACGCCTCATCCCCCTGACTTCAAGGAGGGCTGGCTGGAAATGTGTGGATCCTTGTTTTGGCAAAACACAACTGTCTCCTTGCTCGGGCTGCACATCCCTGAAGGATGTTGCTCTCGCCCTTGCACAGTTGAGCTATGTTGAGAGCCTGGATGTACAATGCCTTTACTAAGCATTTTTAGGCTACTTCAGAAAGACATCTGCAAAATAGATTTGAATTCTGGCATAATAGTATGAATACACTACAGACCTTCTGGGACAGCAAGGGATTCATTAGTTGTGCTGGGATCAATGAAGATGAGCTCTGTTTTTATTGCTTGACCAGCACAAAGGTGTCTGATTACAAACAGGAATTCAAGGAAGACATGTCTTAGGCTGAAGGGGCAGAGCCCTTTATAATTTAGAGAGCAAGTAAGACCTGAGTGATTTTTGGACAATGAAGCTCCATGGCTCTGTAGTATGGCAAGCATACTTTTTCTCCTGCTATTTCCAGTTTTAGGCTTGGATTAAGATGGGTTTAAGATTTAGTCTTGGTTCTTCAGCTTAATTCCAAGACAAAAAGGGCAAGTAGCTTTTGTGATAGGAAGCTAAATGTTCAGCTGGTGCTGGGTGAAGCTCTTCAATAGCTGTGTATGAGCTGGGCAGTGAAGAGTCAATGATGGAAGATCTTGAGGGCCAGAAGTCTGGTGCTTTAGAGATCAAATTCACATTTTCTGGGCAGCTGAGATCTCCTGAAGCAGTTTCTGCTACAGATGCTCTAGGGGAGCCCTTGCACCATGTGGAGGAGAATGCTGGCTTGTTTGCTGTGGTGGGCCTGGGGGCTCATTGAGCTGTTGTCCAGGGTATAAGGAGCCTGGAAAATTTGGCTAAGTGGATCTTGGCTATTATGGAATTGATTTCAAGTAGAAGTGCTTAAACTAGCATGGGTTTGTTTTTCATCTGGCGAGTGTTTCATCAGATAACAGACCAAGAAGCTTGGTGGTAGGAATTTAGATTTTAGTCATGCTTTTGTTGTGTGGTTGCAGTGGAGCAGAGCTGAGCAAGTGGGCACTTGTGCCTGTTCTGCTGCTGAATGCAGTTTTGTTTTGTTAGCTTCTTCTCAAGGTATGACTTTTCTGATACATCATGGGGACAGGTGAATCTGAAGAGCTACTGACCTAAGGAGAAAAACTGAGCTTGCTTACGTTTTGTGATGCTCTCATGAGTTATGAAGACCTAAAACACGGCAATGGTGGTGACTTGGATGAGCTGCTTCCAAAACAGGGTGTAATGGAAATGGGCTGAAACAGCAGTATGTTAAACATGCTGTATCCCATTCTGTGGCACTTGTTGGTCCATGTTCAACAGTGGTACGCCTGCCTCATGTGAGTCAGGGCCTCAAAGACTTGCTTGCCTTTGCTGAGATGGCAGGTGAGAATTTAGCTGCATGGGAGGGAAACAAGGGCCCCTCCCTTGCCGCTAGCTGTTGGTGCTCTGCGGTTTGGTCATCTGTGCAGCAGAGATGCTCTTGCTGCTCAGGAATTTGTTTGAACTGCAGCATGTGGGTGTGCAGGATGGAGGCCATGTGTCAGAGCTCCTGTGTGGCCAGCTGTGAGCCACAGCTGCCCTAGCTGTACGTGTGGAACCTCTCCCAGATGAGGCACGCAGCCCAGTGCTCACTGCCATCCTTCACAAGCCTGTGCTCAGCTATAGAACACTCCTGTGGCTCTGATTCCTGCCCATGCCTTTCTGGGTTAGAACTCGGCCCTCCCTCTACACTACAAGTTTTCCAAACAGGTGTCCATACTCTCCAGGCCAAAATGCTGTTCGTATGTCCTGCCCTGTGCTTGGTTATCCACCTACCCATCTGTTATGCCAGCTGCAAAAGCTCCTGGAATGAGAGGGTTTGAGGATATGCTGCACCTGGGAGTGTAATTAGTGTTTACTTCTCCTGGGGCTTCATGCTCAAAGCAAGGAACTCTTTGTCCTCTGCTAGCATCAAATGTTTGTCAACATGTATGGTATTTCATATTGAACTGCTCATGTAACTAGTTTCCCTCAATCTTTTCTCCCCTCCTGTTTTTCGCTACTCTAAGCTTTCGATAGATCTAGAACCATGAGGAAAATAAGGACATTTCTTTTCATTATGAATTTATTGAGAAGCAAGAAGAGCACATAACACATGGCAGAATGATTCACATATCACTTAAAAGACATTAAAGAGTGGAATTCTGGGTAGACCCCAGAAGACTTGAGTGATGTGAATCTGGTAACAGGGCATGGATCACTGGGAAAAATCCATGTTCATACTATGTGGTCTTTGTTCTGTGGTATAGCAAAATCTATACTAGTGGAAGCTCCAGACAGGCTCTGGAGAAGATTGAAAATGTTGAGTGCTGTAACTGCATGATAAGTGATAAAAATGAAAATCATCTTCAGCCTGTTAGAAATGATACTTCCATAATTTACTGGGGAAAAAAAAGAGAAGTTTAGGCTCTTGCCTGTTCTGCCTCATGCTATTTTCATCCCAAGATGAGAATGTTGATATCAGATACTTTCTACTTGCAGCTGTATATATTGAAAGGAAAAAGTAGGCTACAGTGTGCCTTAGAGAAGAAAATTACCACTAGGGGGTCTAGTCACATCTTGAAAATAGTGAATTATGAAGAGGAATAGCATTCGCACCACCACGTGGGGATTGTTTCCTTCAGAATCATTGTGGCAGGCAAGCAGCTCGCTTGGCTCGAATAGCTTTGGTAGCTCGCATGAAATCGCCTTGTTGCTAATCATAATCTAGATAATTTTTCACGGTAATATAGGCACAAGCGACAGTGTCTTGGTCTTCATTAGTCAGCTCTGCTGAAACAACGTAATCTCCCTGTGTGAGACAGACACAAAGCAAGAGATTAGCACATCAATAGTTTATGACTGCTTCTGTTTCTGTGAGGGAGCCCTCTTCCTGGAAACAGAACAACACTTTCCCTATCCAGTTTCCCCAAAACATTTCCTGTCCAAACGTTTCAGAACTGGTAAAGGCCTTGCCCATATTTTCTGCCAAAATAATCTCATCAGGGATGTCAGTGCTGACAGCACAAGTTCAAAATTAAAACAGTGCAAGGGGAACAAAATGTTTTGATGCATAAAAATTCATTTCAGATCTGTGTAACTTTTCATGTTTCTTATGATCAAGCACATTATGGCCTGTGCTGTTTAGTAACTGGAAGGGGAAGAGGTGCTCTGTCTGGCACTTCCTTTCCTTGGATCTTATTTTTCAGGGTGTACACTGTTACCAATATAACATTTATGAGCTTGGGGGATATGTGTGTATAGATGACTCAATCTGTAATGAATTCCTATCTAATAAAACAAGAGGTAGTTTAATTTCAAATTGTGTAGTTAAAATTACTAATAATTCTGGCTTTGGAGAGAACATTTTATTGTTGCAGTGCAAAAAAGTTTCAACTTGAAACTATGGCTTTTCTGTATTGGTCAAAACGGCTCTTCTCAGACACTTGGAGAAGCAGCAGCACTAGGCAGAGAAGGTAACAAAGTTTATTGAAGTCCCGGAGAAGAGGTGAACTAGATTTCATTCCCTCTAGATTACTGGTACTGCAGCATTTCTTTATGTTTCTTTCTGGAGTATGGAGGGGAGCAAAACCTGAGGGAGAAGAGCTTGGCAGCAGTAGCCTTCTGGCTTTGAACCACAGAAAGCTCTTGCCCTTCTCGGAACTCTTCTGGTTGCAGAGTGGAAAGAGACACAGTTAGAATGAGTCAGGTTTTTTGACATTTGCCTTTTACCACGGGATTTCTAAAGCAATAAATGGCCTGTGGCCTGACAGAGAAGCTCAAGTGTAACATCCAAATTTAAAGAGAGGCTCAATAGCAACATGCTCATGAAAATACAGCCTTGTAATTGCTGTGCAAACTGTGCAAATGCCCATCAGGCTGCTCAGATGAGGCTGCTTTTCACAATGAGCAGAAGACGATTAATGCTTGGGATAACTCCTTATTGCTGGCATGGAAGGATGGTGTTATTTGCCTGACTGATTAATTAACAAAAAAGGTTTCCTATTCCCTTTCTCACAAATATGTTAATACCCCAAAAGCTTCTAGATTTATTCATGGAAAGGAGTTTATAATAACTCATTTCCATTGCTCATTAGTGATTTAGATTTTTTTTTTCTCCTCCAGAATAATTTTTTGCTCATGGGTAAAAAATTGTTATTAAAACAGGATTGTGAACAGTCTTAGAATTCCTGGCTCCAAGTTCATCTAATTTACCCAGAACTGGAGTTTTATTGGTCTCTGTGGATGTTTCTAGGGATTGTTTGTCCAGAGCTTTGGTATGTTAGTAAAGATGCTCCTGGACCATGATGCTGACTGATATGAGTTTGGGCACTCTGGTGTGAGAGATCAAAAGGTTTTGCTCAACACAGCATCTTTAGGTGTAGCCTTTAGGGAAGCAGGCTGGTAAGGGTAGGATAGCAGCCTGCATGAGGGGCCCTAGCTCTCTGTGTGAAAGCCTTGGAAAGTGAAGGTTGTGGTTGCTATTATCACCAAGGGAAGACTGAGACATATGAGAAAGTAGCTGTTATGCAAGGCTCAATCCACACAGAAGCCAGATATCCTTCTTATCACCTCTGCCAGCATTGGCAAGCCAGGCTCTCTGGGACTCACATCCTTGTTCTATATCCTTGTTCTGATCCTGTTGTCTTTTCCTGCACCTGAACCAATCCAGTGCAGAGCAGGCCCCAGACCTCATGTCTGAGGCTCTGACATAGGTTTTATGTCTGCTGCTGAATTGAGAGCTCAAGCTGCGCTTCTCTTGTGGGAGCAAACTTAAGGAGTGTGTGACCGACCACCTGAACTGTGTGCATTTGCAGTAGTGGCTGTGATACTTTCTTCACCATGTTCTCAGATACCTTGATGATCCAGATCTTGCCTTTTCCCCTTCAGTCTAGTCTCTTCAGGCATGTGGCTAAAAATTCTTTGTTATTTACTGGTCAAATATGGCTTCATGTTGTGCGAAGTTAAGAGATTCTGGTGCATTAAATGCTTGAGACATCTTGCTTTGCAATGTAATTTGGTTGACCTTCTAGAAGGAGACTTAATTCAACATGGAGAAGGCTGGTTGTAAAGACCTTCTGTAGTGGATGGCCAGGAAATTCAGAGCAGTGCCTAGAGTACTGCCCATTTTCTTATCTTCCTAAGAAATTATCTTATTATTTTAAGACTCTGTAAGTCTAGAGAAAGTGTTCTTGGCCTCATTAACTTGTACTTCCAATTGCAACCTAGAAGACCTCTGTCCCTGTATCTAACACCATATATGCTCAGTGGAACTCATACAATTACAACAGTTGAATAAATTACCTTCATAGCTAGTGAGGATGAATGAGCTTCTCCAAATTGTTCAGCCCACTAAGGAGTGAGCTGAATTGCAGCCTTGGTCTCTCAGGAGTCTCCTGGAGCTGCTGCTTTTCTTGCTATTTTAAGAGAAATAGAGGGGGAGCCTACTAAAGAACAGTATGGCTGCATGACTTAGTGCTGGCAGAGGGGACCTGCTATCCTAAGAAAACCTGTCTATCTCTCCATAATGCTTTAAGCAAAGCCAACTTAATTTCATATTAAAAAGGGTTAGTCATGTAAACACTATCAGATCTAGTGTGCAATCTGGGGGAGCTTGGAATATGCTGATGTGATTGCTGGTAGTCCTCTGATTATACCTCATGCGAAAAGCCCCTCTGCTTGGGAGAACTTACCTGTGGGATTTCTTTGATGCCCAGTGTGACTGGTCCCTCATAGTAGAGGTGCTCTGAAAAGCAGAAATGGTGGTAGGTGGTTAGACATGCAGCACGTGAAGGAAACAAGCAGCTGCTCGTAGATGCTTTTTTGTAATAGTGCTTCAAAGTGCTCCAGTGACAAGTGTTATGGAACTGCAAAGTGCTCTATAGAGCCTTATAACAGCCCTCCTGAGGAAACATCAGGACGTGTGCTGCCTTATGGGGAAAGCAGGGCAGAGCCGAGGAGAACCTGCAGCCCCTGAGTGGAGCAGGGAGCGTAGCTTTGCACAACCAGGTGGGTGTTCCTATGTCAGCATGAATCCTGCAAATGAGGAAATGAAAGGGGAGGGGGAATTGCCAGAAATAAGTTCTTTAGCATGATCTATCAACCGCCTGCATCTGCAATAATTGAACAGTACTGTTTTGGTAACTTTAATTAAAAACAATTTGAGCTGAGTGTTTCTGTAGGTGTGGACTTCTGACTGATTGCTGAACGTGACCATGAAGTAATAAAAACATGTCTGTCCCGTTGCTGAGGGAGCTTTCACCGATAAGTTACATGATGTGCTAAAGCCATCACAAGTTGTGTTGGTGACTGGAATAGAGCCCAGGAGCTCCAGCTTCCAATCCTCATCTCCCTAACAGCAAGGCATGCTTGCTCTTTGCTGTGGAGAAAGGGCAACTTTGGCACTAATGGACAGAATTAGCAAGCTGTTCTGCAGTTCCTCCTACTTTTTTTCATAGCTTACTGGGCTAAACTGTGCAGACTTGACTGAAAATAAAATTGGTAGATGTTACAGTATTTCAGAATTTCTTGCACAACTTGCCCTCCCCAAGTTGTGGAAAAGTCTAAGAACTGTTTAAGGATTCTCTTTTGTAGGTGTCATGGAACAGTCTTTACTTTGACAGTGACAGAGGAGTGTTTCATGTTTATATGACTATGTGCTGGCGTACTGACGCTTGTCTCTTCTAGAGAGTTGTTTAGTCCACTGTTGCTGTGCTGGTTTAAATTGTTTCATGCAAAAGACTGGAGAAAGGGTTTGTAACAATGTTTTTGTGTCATGTGGTCCATCCCACCATGGAGTTGGTAATTTGACTTGGAACAGAGTCCCCAGAAAGTCTTCCTTACATATGCTATGAAATGTTAGTGCCTTGTTGCAAACTTGTATGAAAGCATCCTAACTGTAAGAAAGAAGCAGGAAACGCATAGGGGAAACCTGAGACATCACCAATGTTCTACACCTTTGCATTAATGATGACTATTAAACTTAATGCTCTGATGACTCTGGAAGGTGGAGAAGATGCAGAACTTCTCTCAGTGTTGCCCTGAAAAACCTAATGCCAAAATGGAGAATGGAACGTTTTGGTTTGTAACTCTCAAACTGATCAGCTCTGCTGCAGTACTCATTCCTCTCTGCATCCCTGGCTGTTTCACCTGTCCACCAAGAAGGCTTTTCAAAGAGCAGTCACCATAGCTGCTTGCTTCTGTGCACGAAGCAGAGCCCTGGAGTCTGACACATCTTCACTGCAGAGAGCAGTGACTCAAGAATTTTAAAAATACAGAGCAGCCCACTTCTCAGCTCACAACTTTAATAGAGTCTAAATGGGAGTTAAAGGCATTGCAAACTGCATGATCTGGGTGATGAGTGTCCTCCGTGGGACTTGAGCTGTATGTGTTGATGTGTGCTAAGCCGTACTGTGAGCTGCCTCCTCAGGGTGGTGTGGACCATGCAATGTGTCCTCCCCTTTAGTAGAGAGCTTTCTTTGACTATTTCTCCTTCAGTCAACTCTAAGCCTAGCAAATCCTGCATGGCAGCAGAGGAGAGTGGAAAGGACCCTAGGCTGTGAACAGTCACCCTTCCCCAAAGTCCTTCTCCACAGGGATGTGGGGAAAACTCCTCTTGGATCATGCGATTCGTTAGACTCACCTACACCATCAGAAAGCCATCCGGAATCTAAACATACAGATGCAGCATTCAAGCTCTGCAAAGCCTGTATTTTAAAATGAAGTAGGAGTCGTCAGGCCATAAATTTGCTTCTGAAATGATGGCAATGCTAATCTCTCTCCTTGAGTGTAGGTAGAAGCTATTTCCCCCCCCTACTTTGCTGTGACAAAGTAACAATTACATCAGAGCTAGATAAATGCAGTCTTGGGGCTCTGCTTCAGCCCTCTCTGAGAAGTCTTCCATAGTTTCCCTGATGTGTGGTAGCTATGCCTTTGCTCACTAATCAATGGAATTGCTCTCATGGGCTGTACTATCTTTTAGTGACTGCAACATCTCTTCAAGGAGAAAAATCTGAGGGAGCTGGGACTGTGTAGCCTAAAAACCAGAAGGATTAGGGGAAAGCCCATCAACATGTACAAACAGCTGAAGAGAGGGTGTAAGGAGGACAGAGCCAGGCTCTTCCCAGTGGTGCCCAGTAACAGGACAAGAAGGAGTAAGCACAAATTGAAGCTCAGTAGGTTTCACCCTACTGTAAGAGCAACTGAGCTCTGGCACAGGTTGCTCAGAGAGGATGTGGAGTGTCCATCCTTGGATGTATCAAAAAACCCCACCTGGACATGGTCCTGGGCAACCAGCTGTAGATGGTCTTGGGTGATGTAGGTGGGAGCTGGACAAATGACCTTCAGAGAGACTTTCCAACCTTGGCTCAACAATGAAGGGGCGGGGGAAGGACTATGCTGTTTTGAAAGTATGTCCTGAGAGGAAACCAAGGGCAGTTTTCATTTTCAGCTACTTGAGACTTGACAGGAAACAATATGGATGCATAGATCTGCTGAATCTTATTCATATTCACTTCAGACCATGGCAACCTGCTCAGTACCTATGCTGGCTGCATCAGGCTGTTCAAAACCTGTTCAGTGTTCCTCTCACATGAGGATTTCTGCTATAATTCCAGAAGTGTAAACATCCTCCAAGGCTTTAAGGACTGTCATTTATCACAGCATCTTTCGTATACATTTTTCTCCGTATAGTCATACATTTTTATAATCCTCCATTGAAAGAGGATGAACACATCTGCTGCAGTAAGTGTAACTGTCACAAACACTGAGCCAAGCTCATTGAAAGAATTTTGTGGTTTCTTTTTAGAGCAAACCCAGATGTAGCTGCAAAAAAATGTACAGACATTGGGAACAGCATAAAACATGAGTGCATTTTTCCAATTAAAAATTCTCATATGTCTTTATTAGTCTGTTGGTAAGTTATGATATCTGTCAAGCATGTTGTCATCAGTGATAGGCTTTCAATCCACCTTCTATTTTCAGACCTTTTTATTAAAGACTTAACTGAAGCTGATTTCTGTAGAGCATGCTGGAAAATATTTCTAGTGTACCACTGTTTCAAGGTGATGATGTTGTATTTATTGTAACAGCTTTTCACTGTTGTTTCTACCGAAAATAACTTTAGTCCCTTTCCCTGCCGGTGAGCAGGCCTCTAGGAGTTTCCAGTCTGAAGCAGAGCTTTCAAATGTGTAAAAAAACTTCCTGAGGATTACTTCAAGTTACTGGTGATCATTTATCATGAAGATGCCTCTCATTCCCGACAAAACACCTATAATGAAATTCTCACTCCTCTTTCTCAAATCTTCCCTTCACTGAAAATTTTTATACGTTCTCACACTCTTGTACTATATAAAGGCCCTGTACATCTGCACCCACCTCTTCCTTTTTCTGTTTTAAATCTTTTTAGAACTTAAATGCTCCATGTTGGAGTTGTTCTAGGACACGATCTTGCACCCATGCAACTGACACAACTTCTCTGAGTTTTAGGGATATAGGAATGATCCGAGTAACTGCCAGCTATATCTGTATAGATGAGTGAGAAAAATGTACATAAATACATAGCCAGGTGAAACATCCTCTCTCTTTTTACTGAGGAGGAAAAAATGAGATTAAAGGGATTGCATGTCAGCCCAAAGACCTCGTTTTGCAGTGTAGTGGCTTTCTCAGAAACATGTACCTGAACTCTCAGTGTGACACCCAGTTCTGTAATTCATGTTATGTTCTTTACTTCTATTCACAAATGCTAGTTTAGAAACTTGCTTACTATTGCACTTGCCAAAAGAGGCAATAATGCAAAGAATGGAGTTGGCAAGCACAGGGGGTGGTTCTCTATGGTTTGGGAGTATGCACAAGGAATTGTGCAAGCGCTCTGATGGTGCCTTTATCAGTGGAGCCTGAAAGAAAACTTGCAGACTTGCAAAGGGTGCAGCTATCTTTTTGTCAGGAAGCTTTGTATAAGCCTGCAAGTTGTGGTTGGCACATGGCTAAATATTACCTTGCCAGGTCTTTTTCTCTGCTTTCGGTGATTGTGTTGGGAAATCTGTTAAATCTTATGTAACCTTTCCTTTGGAGGAAATGGGGAATAACCAGAACTTTCTACCAAAAAAAGAGAAAGACCTGAGTTCATGTTATACCTCAGAACTTAGCAGTTTTGTTGTTGCTTTAAAATGGGCAGCAGCCCATTTCCTTGAGACCTCTGAGCTAACAACTTTACAACAGGCATATAGCTCAAAGAAAAAGATCTTGGAATCCTATTTAGGAGTGCCAGATGTGAATTTTGTGTAACATAAATAGTAAATACTACATGGTTATGATGAACATTAAACTTCCAGCTATATCAAGTCTCCTAAAGTATTTCCAGTCATGGCAAAAGTGTAGGACTATAGGAGAGCAAAGAAAAATAAAACAACCCCAAACACCAAAGACTCTTACATCCAGCTCTTAGAAGTCTCTTTTCCTTCCAACTTCTGCTCTGCTTGTCCACATGACTGAGTGGACCAATAAAGCCTGTAGCAGAGCTATGTTCTGTCTCGCTTGGGGAAGGGGAGGAACAGGAAATACTTGGCCTCCTTGTGGAAGGCAAGCAAATTCTGTGTGGAACTATATTTAAACTCGGGTTAGGTCTGACCAGATGTTGGAAATGTTGCCTGTATTACAGGGAAAAAGGGGCACGGCATGAAAAGCTTCAGTTCAAAAGGCTATCTGCTCCTCTGTACCTTTGCTAGGCTGCATACTTGGCCATTCGCAATATTGTCCTTTCTGCATAGCTATTAGGGCAGATTTAGAGCTGTGCCAATATGATCAAGTGTGGCTGTGCTAAACTGCCTCATATTGGCCTTCAGCTGATTTCTGTGTCCTAAAACATGGGTTAGAATCAAATGTCATGTAATTAAAAAATACCACATTTTGAGTGTGAACCTTAGTCTGAGAAAGTTTAGTTCTTTCCTGCTGTGGCTTAATTGCTAAATAAAAGCAGCTACTGAACAAAAGGTCATGTATTAAAGTGTGTGGCAGAGGTCCTTGCACTAACTGAGGCATGCTCCTAAATGAAGATATATAGTATTATTTAAACCACCAACTATGGCTTTATATCATAATGTACTTCAATTAGTAGAAACAATCACCTGTCAGTTTAAGATTAAGGGACTTGGAAACCCCAGGAGGCTTTGGCTTTGTGGCTTAATGTGTGAATACCAGCTTGTGCTCAGCTCAGGACTGACTCTACTTCTCCTTAATGTATTCTCTAAAGGATGTTATTTAGTACTTCACCAGAATAAGACAGTTTTTCAGTAGGCCTGTGTGTGATTTTTTCCCTTTTGTAACTCAATACACAATTGAAGAAATCTCTGAATTTAATTTTTTGTCTATCTGGCTTACAGGATTTACATAATTGGTTGCTCATGCAGCATTTCTCTATTATTCTCTGTGATATTTCTATGCTCTCTGCAATTTCTTAGTAATTTTCCAGGGGCTGTCTTAGCAGCAGTTCTGTGCATGGTTTTTAAACTCATAGCCCTTGCACATGAATTATTGCAGCGTTATCAGGATGGAGATGCAAGTCAGTGAAAGGAAAGCAGAGCTTCTGAAACTAACTGATGCTCTTAACAACTCTGAAACTTCCCTGAAGCTCTACCTCTTTATTTTAAAATCAGCCTAAAGAGATTATCATGATGTAAGAGGGAATTCAAAATAACCATTTAAGATACATGGATATTACAGTCCAGAGGGATGACTATAGCTTTTCCAGACATACTATAACTACCTTTTCACTACCTGTGTCATGGCAGACAGGACCTCAAGGTGCCCAGGCTCACATGGGACCAAAGATGCTTGCTTTTGGGGAGCAGCTAATGCCACTGTAAACCAACTAGTGCAAGTCTGCATCAATTGGCAGTTTTACTGGCATGAACTGAAATCATCTGACTGCTGCATAGGCATGTGTTGAGCAGAAACAAGATGCAAACCATAGATGGTATAAAATAGTATTTTGATCCCAATATCCTTATTCAAGCATAATTTCTCCCAAAGTGAGTAAAGAACTGCCTTTAAGGACAGGAAGTGTTGATTGCTTAATAGTAAAGAACATATTCAGAATGGCTTGTTTGTTTGCTCAGCCATTTATTTTCTAGAACTGGCTTTTATTTTTGTCATACTTCTTGCTCACATGACAACCATGTGGCTATAAATAGGGCTTATGAACCTCTGTGCTGTTGGATGGAGCCACATTACCACAGTTACTTTTTATGGACTTGAAATCCCATGTGCATGCAATATTCTGTGATTAAAAGAAAAGCAAGCAGGTTAGGGGAAAACACAGGCTCTGAAATTAAAATGTCTCTGTCCTACTGTGTTTCTGTCATCCATTAACATGCTGTTGAAGTAAACAGAACATTACGATGTATTGGTGAGTTCAACAGCACAGCGGGTGCATCCTGCTTGGAGTATTCAGTAGCCATCAAACACTTAGTGCTACCTAAATTACCTCCTTTCTTCTTTCCACAGAAAATAAGCTTAGAAAGACCCGGCTCACAAAGCGTCTCGGAGTAGGTTAAGACGGTCTTCCCATTTATGATGAGGTTAAGCTTGACATACAGTTCCTTGATGCTGTGTCCTACACACAAAGCAGAAGGAGAGCTTGGAGAAAGTGCAAGGGTAAACAGGTTTATTACTTTGTTTCTAAAGATTCTATTTTTTTCCCCTGCTGTTTAAGCCATTGAATGTCATCACTAAAGACTCCTAATACATAGAAATCCATGCTTCAGGAACAGGTCCCTAAATCCCTTAAGGTATATGTGGGGACGTAATAGCATATATATTTATTGTTAAATAAATACACCCATGACCTTTCTCTAACTTTGTGGCCAATTTTCATCATAAATCTAGTGTCTTCACATCTAAATTTCTTACTCTAATTAGCAGAGGCACCATGTCCAATGGGCCACAGGGAGCAGCCTGTGGTCTGTACCTGATGCCTGGGAAAATAGTTCAAAGCTGTGTTTGAGCCAAACCTGTGTCAGGGACCAGCATAGCAGCCTGGCAGTGATGGGAGGTTTCCTGCTTGTGCCTGGCTTCCTAACATAGATACAGCCAGCGAGGAGGGTACTGGATTTAGAGGGAGATTCTGTAGTCTGAGTTGGTAAAGTATTTGCAAATGCCTGTAATGTGATTTTGCAGGCTTGCTTAACTTTGCAGCCACCTGAAAACTGTTGCTCCTAGGCAAAAGGGCAGCATGTCTCACAGGAGGGAGACCTTTTGTATGCAAGGAAGCATTCCCAGTGCTAAAAGACACTTGGCATGTAAACTTACTTTCAGCACTAGGAGCATACAGCAGTGCTCTCATATTTATGCTCTGGTGGTAGAGTTTCTTGGTGGGGCCAACAGGGTTGCAAAAAGGTGGCTTTCCTGTGCAAGGGTCACAAAGCAAGCTATGGCTAATATTAACTTGCACACCCAGCCCATTAGCTCAAATGCAGTTCTGCTTTTGACCTTTTACTGCTGATCAGTCAAGTGCTGAAGGGTATAATTTCAGCTAGCACAGGTGCCGAGCTGATGGCATGACTGTGTTGCCTCAGGCTAATGCTTCCCCAACACTCCCCTAGCATCCTTCTCTGCATGCCCAGAAGGCACAGAGAGATGTCTCCGCCTTGCTCTGTGGGAGTCCCTTCAGTCTCCCATCTGCAAGGGTCAGCCCTGACAACTTACTGAGGACTGCTGGTGCTGACTTGAGACTGTGGCTGCTGTAGCTGTCTAGTTCAGCAAGATTCTCCCCAGAAGATTTAGGTGTGAAGACAAGCTTTAGAGCACCCCCCACCTTGGGTATCCATATGTACTAATGCAGGGTAGGAGAAGAATAGAGGCTGAGGGCTGATACAACTTGCTTAGGGTGGCATACATAGTCTGAGGCCAAGCTGATATCGGAACTGACATTTCTGTAGCCCTGCACAGGCTTTGAAGTTCCTCAGACAGAAGCCCTTTCCTATTTAATAGGAGGTTGTCACCCTTGCTTGCTTGATACCAGCACTCATACATGAGCTACGGGTTTATGGTGTGAGAAAATACCAATTTACTTACTTAGCAAGATTGCAGCTCTGATGTTAAAGGTGTGGGTTGAGATATCAGAACATCGGTCAATGCTGAAAGCAAAATCTTGGTGGGGATCTGTTTGGAGACAGAAAGTTGCATTTTTAATGAGATACTGACTGTATAGAAGACAGCAATAAAATATGGAAGTGTTGTAAATACCAGATTATATATTCCTTAAAAATTTCCAAGATGTGCTCAAGGCTCCCATACCCTGTGCTTAATAATTGCTTCTGTCCTTCCTGCCACTTCAATCTGAAGCATGTTCAGATGATAGCCTATATATGGCTAAAACCTACTGTGTGGTGAAAAAGAGCCAAGTTCAGGGAAAGCAAGTTCTCCACAGTGGTGGATAGTTAGTACTCATTCAGCAGTGTAGTCTTAGAACAGCTGCTCTTCCCAGGATCTGTGGATAACTCTTCCTTCCACAGCACTGATGAGCAATTGGTTATGATGATGGGTTTTAATTCATTAGTATCACAAGATGGCTTGGTGAGGCTGATTGCAAAACTGAATCCTGAAGTGGGATGAGAAGTCCAAAGATTAAAATAAAATGCGTAACTGAGATTCTGCAGTATTTCATGCTGGGTCCACCATCATGTGATATTTATAACTTGGGAAATATTCTACATTTCTTCTCCCTTTCTGAGAGACTGTAGTCAAAGGGAAGCCCTACAGCCCATGACTGATATGAATGTGGCTCTTACTAATTCCTACACTAACCATTTATCCACATCAAGCTCCAAAACTCTTGTACAAACAAAATTGCTTTCCCCTCGCTTCCACCTTTTTTCCTTGCTAGCCTTCATCAGACTCTGCTATGCCTGGAGGCTTGCTAAGTTGTCACTGTCTGGTGACAGGCAGCAGTGACAACTGACAGTTCTGCTCCCACAACCAAAGGCATGTGAAAGTGTTCCAGAACCATGGTTGGAGAAGGATTTTGCCAGTTTGGAAACATAGCATCCTGAGCCTTACGGCTTAAATTAGGCATAGGTTTGTCCCTTGTAGTGGCTTTCCAGCCAGCCTGTTCATCCAACTTTCTTCTCTGTGGAAACCAGAGAAGAGACTGTGGCCCGTGCAGAAATAGCTGTAGTCTCCCCCATTTGCACAGATTTGGGAATAGAATCCTGGTTTTAAGTTACAGTTGCTTGAGGTAATCTTCTCACTGAATAGAAAATAATAGGTTGGGAGAATTTTTCTTTGCTGTGGCGTAAGTTGTCACGAGTGTCTCTGTGACACTGGGGCTGAGCTAGCATCTCTGTAGTCTGATCCTGTTTTTCCAGCAGTGACCCACAGCTGTAGCACCAGCAGAGAGCAATCCCGGGTGACTTAGAGGGGAGCATGAAATAAATGGAAGTGTTGGGAGAAGCTGGGGCTTTAAGCCAGGCTCTGCAGGCACATGGAATATCAGTGTGGTCCAAAAGGAGCTCCTGAGTCTTAAGGTCTGTTAAATTAAAATAACTGTTTAAAGGAGGGAGACAAAAAGCACTGGTATTTTCCACAGCTGTGTCCCTTGATGGATTTTGTTCTTCACACCACTAAAGCAGCCTCTGCATCTGCATGATCTGTTTGGGACAAAGAGTTAGTGCCTGCAGTTGTTTATCTGCTCAAGTGTGACAAGAGTCAGAGGGTTGTCTTTCCTCCATTTCCATATTCTTGTCAGTTCTCGTTTTGTTATTGCAGCTTCAGAAACTGTTGCAATCGGGTAGGAGAGCAGTTTCCTGCTCCAGATGGAAAGCATGTCAAACTTCTCTTTTCTCCCTGACCGTTACGCCTGCTTCCCCTCTGGTGTCTACCACCTCACAGGGCTTGGTTTCTGCTTTTCTCTGGACTTCTGCAAGAGCCCCTCTTGTTTCTGTTTTGTGTGTGGTACAATGATAAGGTCCAAGAAACAGTTGTGCAGATTCTGAGCCATTTGGACATTGATGCCTACAGTGTTGGTTGTCAATAACTGGTCAGGTCTGTGATTTCCAAAGACAGCTATGGTCACAAATGGCACTGCATCATATATGATGCTTTTTCTCTTTTCAAAGAGACTAGGCTGTGCTTTAGTCAACAAATTAAATCATGGTATTAGGGCTAGGAGTTCAATTTTTAGTTCATTTTCATCAATATCTGCTTGGATGGAAAGGGAATGCTCATGAAACCAAGCTTCTCTGGAAAGCATGGGCTTCTTACGATGAACCTGACCTCTGGGTTGTTTTAGTTTGAATGTCTCATGCCTATTGCGTTTGTGGTTTTGTGTGTGTGGTTATGTTTTGGGTTTCTTTTCTATGGATTGAGCTCTTTTGTCAGATGACCTATTTCGTGGTGCATTGTAGCCATGGGTGTTTTCTACTGCTAGTGATGCAGCATAGGACTTCAGTGTCTCCAGAGAAGTGTCTGTTCCCCAGAGAGGAAGAGAGCGAGGAAGCACTCACATGAGAAATTACAGCAGAATTTGTGAATTAGAGCACTTGGATTTTGTGTTGTAACTCTGTTCCTGAGAAATGTAAACTTCTCCACTGGCAAAAAGAGCACCAATTAATTTTCTGACCATCTCCCTGTGGAAATTCAGGCTATGACTTTGCAATCCAACATCTTAGATATTGTGATGTGTGTGGGGCCTCCTGCTGAAATCAATTGAAAGGATGGCAGTGTTGCTAAAGCAGTGGTGCCAGGGGGTCTGGATTCTAAACAATGTAGGCAGAATGGTTCCTGCAAAATGGAAATTAAATAAAATAGTGATTTTTATTTTTTTTTAAACCATTTGATAAGTGAAGGTGTCTGTATATCCAGCTGTGCGCTGTGGACTAAGGTAGTGTGCCATACCCATCTTTTGCTTTAAATGTTGAGGAGTTGCTTGTGTGGCAAAGGCAACTCAAGGCAACTGCCATTTTTGTTTCATCTCAGATACACAACTGTGAGTCATTGTGTGTCTCTTATGGAGGTTTAATACTTATTCTTCCTTGTTTGCCTCAATCTGAATTGAGCTGGTTAGACTGGAAAAAAAATACATGTTATGTCTTTCACATGTGCAGAGCAATAACATTTACTGTTAAATCTCTAAAATACGTGGGGCTGCCCTTCAGCCTTCCACTTCCCTGCAGCGTTTCATAGTGCACAGTACTGTATGTTCCCAGACTTCCCTCCACCCACTCCCTTCAATCTGCTCCGTCTTCCATAATTAAAGCTAGAAACTCTTCAACTGGTTGCAGAGTTCTGCTTTTCCAGTTCGGCTTTGATATATTACCAACACTCACAGTGTTGCTGGAAATTTTGCAAACATGCTGAGGTTTATCAGTGAAAAATCTGCTGGGGGGGGGCATTTTCTTTGTCCTTGTGTTTCTAGTGAGAAGGGCTGGGGCTGCAACATAATGTTAGAGCTAGCATGAAGGTGCCTGGGAGCAGCGTTTTGTCTGAAGCTTCTCTCCAGCCAGTTCTAAATCTTTCAGGTAACTGCTCTGAGAAAGAGGCTTTTGTAAATCATCGGTGAACTTTCAGATCTCTTAGATCTGTTATTTGAACTTGGTGCTGTGGCTGATGCTGAGCTTTCACCTGTATCTAGCACTGAACGTACAGCTCCCACTGAGGCTGGCTTCTGTAGTAGAGACCTGCTTTGTGAGATTAAGTCTGGGACAATGCCTGGTATCTTGCCACTGATCACCTCTTACACAGCATAGTGCCAGCTGACCCCATGCATCCTACATCCCATTTCACCCTTACCCAAGTATCCTAATGAAGATTTATGGCTATGTTGGCTTGGTACGTGGTTTTCCTTGCACTTGACCTGTAGCGGCACCATAGCGCAAGGCTTCAGCCTGGCTTACTATTGTGGAGTGCTCACAGCAATGAATTTGGCTGGGCTTTTCTAGAAGACTGAGCAGATGTGTGTAGTACATCCTGAAAGCTCCAACGAGTTCCTGAACATTTCTTCCTAGAGTTTCTTTTCCTGCTCTTGGCAGAAGGTTCATAGGTAACTTAGCTCAAACACATTTACAGTGGTGTATCTAAGTGACCCTCCTGGCTTCGAGCCTTGTACCTTTGATGGAGATTATTACCCTGGTAACAGGAACAACAGATGGGAACACACATTGATGCCTCAGTTACTGCAGTTCTGGGTGCACTAGCTCAAGCTGAACATGGATATGCACTGAGCCACAGGACTGTGAGCTGGGGCTGCCTTCACACTCCACAGCCTTCTGTGCTCTGGGAGGTGATGTCCAGCAGGAAGATGAAGCAGGTAGCTGCAAATGATAGCGTGCTAACTCACAGGGAATATGTCCCTCAGAGCCTGAGCTGCTACATGACTAACTGGGCATTACAGAAACGGCATTACATGGCCAGATGGGAAGCATCTGTTAAAGGAATTTTGCTGGGCTGGTGTACAACAGCCTGTGTCTCTTATTCTTCTCCCTCCCTCCTCACACCTTGTTAACTATCCTCTACTGGCTTTACTCTCATCTGAATCTGCTTGAAAATCACATTGTTTCCATATGAGCGTGAAAATCAGTGGTCTGAGTTAAAGGAGCAATAAGCAGGGAAGCTTTGCCTGTATGAGTCTGTATATGTTAGTCCTGCAGTGTGAGATGACTCTCCAAACTGGTAAGCTTTGGGTGTTTCAAAGTAACACTTTTGGGAGCAAATAAGCCGTAGAATTGAAGGTAATGACATAGCTGCACTTGACTACGGTCAAACAAGGACAGACTGGTGCTAGAGAAGCTGGAAATTAGAACAAGGAAGAAGCATGTTTAGTAATTACCCAACACTTCTCACCTTCAAAGCTCTTAATAAAATTAAATCATTAGTCCTTATAACATTCAAGGTGATGAAAGGAGAGGGAAAGAATGAGGAACTGTTTGGTATCTCAGACTTTATGCATTCACTTAACAATTTCCTTTAATGTCTGTTTAAATAAATTAACCTGAATGCTCGAGGTTATATTTGACACTGGAATCTACTTATAAGGCACTGAGGAAGAAGCATCAGGTGAATTAGCAGTTTTCAGTTGTGCATCTAAATTTCACTGAGCACCTTCAGTTTAATGAACTTTCCTTTGGATCTGCATTCACTATGTGGCATTCTGGGAAAAACAGAGT